AGCGATCCCCTGCTGACTCTTCTCTGGAGTGGTCGGGTGAAAAACGCTGTTCTGGATCCGTAGTGACATATACCTAGCTCGACGCTAATCCATCCAACAAAAAGGTGATTGAAGTAGCCAATATAGCAGTCGGCCTGTTTCAGGCAATCAAGGCAATCGGGCTTGCTCCTTTTCTCTGCTATCGACTTCTCGTTCAATAACAAGCTGGCCACTAATGTTATGTATGTTGCTTAATTGTTTGCGGTAACACATGTATCCCGATGGAAGCAGCCATGCCCCATAATTGGAACAGTGTTATAGAGCCACTGACAACGCTATAATGCCATTTTCCAATGCAGGGCGTTGGTGTTGAAATGCCCTTGCAATTACTGCAATCGCACGTTCCACGAATTTTCTGTCCGAAATCGAGTTTCTGGACAGTTTTTCGCTCACATCAAAGTTTTTTCTTCTCCACTACTGTTCCAGATGAATGTCAAGTTACGGTCCTCGTTCTTTTCTTTCCCAAATGTGAATCGAAACGATTCTTCGCCAAGCCGTAATCGACTTGACGTATTCTAGCAGTTTCTTCATTGTGTAGGATAGGTCCTTGTTCTATTCTTCCTCTTTCGAAGATTTCTCATCGAATTTGCCCACGACGTGCTTTTTACGGAATGAACACAGGAATGCAAAAGATGGTTGACGCTTTGAAATCATATCACAAGATATATACAGAGAACAAGTGCGATAGTACTGGTTGGCTCCCCCATGAAACGTTAAAGGCAGAATTTACGATGAAAAGTTAGCTCATTGGAAATAAGGGTAGAGGTGGTCAGTGGAGCAGGGATGAAGAAGAAACCATTTGAAACGGCCCGAAACCCGAGAAACCCCTTCCTTGCCCGTTGATTTGCGCATTGATGCGACTCTCATCGCTGTGCCCTCTTCAACATAACGCTCTCTCTGCCAACTGATCTCTCCGCTATCTCATCACTCGCTGAGTATTAAGGCTTGGGCGTTCCGCGCCAACTGCGCCAAAGGGAAGGCCATGTTAGATCGCCGGGGCATATCCTTCGATGCGAATTGCGTGTTGGTCCGCACCCTTAGGAGGTCCGCCTGTCTCTCAACTAGGTAAATTACTCCTTCTTCAACTTCGTTCTTATCGTGGAATCCTCCTTTAAGTGCTCGAATCCACTTCAGAAGCGCAGAGCTGTTCGAATGGAGCTTGAAGCTCCAAAATTCTGACTGGTAAAAATCAGTGGACGTGCATGTCAACATCTTCCTCATGGACCTGCGATTGCTCCATAAGGAGGTCGCATTGCTAAAGCGGGTTTCTACAACCCGTTCAGTTGATATGCCCCATACCTAGAAGTTATTTCATCAAAAGGAAAATGTTTCAATGTGCCACAACTTCTATAAAGTCCATATCTCTTGGGCCCTATGTTCCTGCTAGTTTTACTATCCCATCTCAGAAGTATTGGGTTGGAGCATAGTATCGTACGCTTCCATTTTCATTTCTTCACACAAACATTTGAAGCAAAAAATAAAAACATAAAACTAATCAGTGATGTTCACTTCGTCATTATTTACAACTTTGCATTTCGCAGAGATCACCGGATATAGAATTTAAAAAAATATTGAGCTCGTTTTCGGAGTCCTATTATTCTCAATTTGTACGAAATGAATATGGTTTGAAATTTGAGCGAAAAGGTAGGGTCGGTTAGAGCAAGGTTCGATTAGAACAATGGATTCAAAAGAACTTCCAATTTGGCGTTTTTTCTTCTTTATTTGAACCGAAGAATAGCAGCTGTCGAAACGCCGATTTTCGCCGTCTGGATTTTCCAACTTCTAAGCTCTATACCTGAGTACAGCTACAATGTTGAAGAAAATGACAACTACGGTTTTGTAGAGCGGGAAGAGTACTTTCAAATAGTATGAGCGGTTTTTCGGATGATACTTGTACTGATTGAATTTATACGCTCGAAAAAAAAACTACGATATTATACTCCGACCCGATACTTCAACAGTTAAAAGGACAAAGGATAAAGCTTTCAGAGGCGCTCATTCTAATGTAGTGTTTAGCGCCATGCATTCTACATACTTCCATTCAGAACCATAGTACAATGATTTGCAGGGGCCATATAACAGATACTACCTCTCCCGATTGAAAATCTCCCCGGCAGCTGATTGATCTTCAAGTTTTCATTGTTATCATAAATTATCAAGTACCAATTACCGGGGCATGGTGTCAGAAGGGCTTATTAGGCGATTCGGTTTCCCTGAAGCGATGTTCGAGAGTTTCGGCACCTATATTTCCCATTCTTACGGCTCCTATTTGAACAGATAATGGGGCTGTCTTTTGAAAGTCGTTTTTTGCAGCTCTGTAGCTTTAAAGCTTCATTATTAACATGGATTAATAATGCTGCCCTCTACCAACTTGTTCTCCTTTACAATAGCTGTATAAGGGTTCAACTGTTCGTTAATGTAGCCGCAAAGGTTATTGAAAGTGGTTGTCGCTGCTATTCCGAATTCGTTACATCGCGCATTCACTCGAATTATCTCTTCCATTTGTCTTTGTCAACTGCTCATTAAACCTCCTTCTGCCCTTTTGACCTGAAAACGCCTTTTATTGTTGCCATTAGAACTTCTGGAAACGTTGTGATTTATGTATTTTGACATTATCGCCTTTCTCATGACATCGTTCATCGAATTGAGTGTACTTTAAGATCGGGGTCAGGTTAGAAAGTGCCCACTGACCTATCTCCTACCTCCGCGTCTTTTCAAGGTAATCGCTTTCCCGCACATGAACTTTTTTTGAACCTTTTTTGGTGGGCATAGTGGTGAAACGTTTACGAGTTTTCTGGTCCATTGTGTGCATGATCCAGTCACAACCTCATACCAGTTGCCTCGTGATCAATGCACGTGCCCTCTTGCTCTCTTTGCCTGATGGTCTTTTTTAACCATGGACATCACAAGCATCTACAGTAGCGACATAGAACTCCTATTTAGACCAAGCTGTTGCTCCGCCTTCTTCACACTTTCCGAGTCTTCCTTTTTAAATTAGGTGGTGGATACCTGAGCTACAACCGGACCAAGTATAAAGCTTAGGCAGTCATGTTAGCCCACTGATCCGCGGCTGAATACCCCTTTGTCAAAGCAGCGTGTTGGAACCGATATCATGTTTTCAACATGCCTCTATACAGGGGGCAAAAAAAGGACATTTTGCCCATGTCGCACTTCGGCCCTTTTTTCTTCGCAGATTGCCGTCGTTGAGCAAAATATTCCCTAAATGTCCCTCTATAAGTAGACGCAGGCCCTCCTTCACTGCCCTCACCGTCTTCAGAATATGACGTCATCTGTCACCGTCGTCAGCTCAAGGAGGCTACCGTAACTGCTTCAGCCTGAAGCTCTTACATAATTTCGTGAATCGATTCAATGTTGGATAGTTTTCTAGAGGCATTAGCTCCCACTATGCAAATCCCCTCGAAACTAGCTTTCCAGTAAAGGTCGTTATGGTACACGATCCTTCGAAGACCCCATTGAGCTCGACCAGTGCACCATGTTTCCAGGGCAAATTTTTCTGATGCCGTCCACGTAGGTGGCCACTATGAAGATTTTCTTATAAATGAAATGCGCTCTTCAATTCTAAGTTGGGAGCACACGGTTTGAATTGAGCAAAGTGTGATTAAATCCATCTGAAGTGGAGACAAAATGTCTTTTTTTATTGCCCCCCCCCCTGTATGTATAGGTCTAGCTTATATGGATAATGTCTAGCAAGGTTGCTGTTTGAAGATTACTGTGAACGCTCAGTTGTCGGCGAATAAGGTCGAGTGTGTGACGCATTCCATCGCTAGGATAAAGGATAAAGCATTTGCCGTTGATCAATCCCTTTTTGGGATGCGGCACGCATTCTACTTCCATTTGTACATTCGTAGTGGCGTTTGAATGCGATGTGGCCTATACAATGACTTGCGGGGCCAGCCGATGTACAAGTCAGTGTTTTTATCCTCCCAGACAAGTCTGGTACCAATTAACCGACCCCGGAGGGATGGAAGGCTTGGTTGGCCCGGGCGACTCACGACCCAGGATTTGATCCCCGGACCGCTCGCGTGGTAAGCGTGCCACTTGCCACTACACCACTTCCGCCCATTCCCTTGTCCTTTTATCGTTTTGATACTTGGAACTATCCCTTCAATCGTACGTCCTCCTGCGATCATGGCGGGAAGACCTCCGGCTATGCAGGAGCATTACAAATTTCACTTTGGAAATTTTCATTACGGTACATTATTGAATTCTTTTTTTTGGAATCATGGTCTCACTGATGAGAGTTGAGAACTGTTGCGCAGTATCCCTACGGAGCGCTGGGCGAGTGGGCAGGTACCGGGAACATTGGGCAATCAAACGTGCTGTTTGAATTTTTTTTACCGCACTTAGCGAAGCTACAGTAATTGTAAGGATGCTTGGTTCACTGCTGATGTCAGTCATCACGTGTGGGTGCTGAAGGGTTATGGTAAATATCACTGGAAGCTGAGTTGGAGGTGAAAGGCGGTCCTTTTGTGTGGCGCTAAAGCAAGATAGGAGGGCTTCCTGTAGAACTAGGCCTAGAAGGTGGGGGCAGATGTTCGGGAAACGTGAAAATTGTTCAGACACGTTGGAGTCTCTCCTAGTTTGTTTAGGGCTCAGTCCCATGTACAACAAAAAATGATGTTTGTCACGGTTCTAGGTGTGTTGCCGCCTCGATGCCCCGGTAAATTACGTCAGCAATCTTGCCGGCAGGCTGTCCAGGTTGATCCCCGATTGAGAAGAAACGTTTTGCCTGCTACTCTGCATCCTTGTGATGACCGACGTTGTATTTGTTCCGTGTTGACCCTCTGCTTTGAGTTGAAGAGTGTTCTGTTTTCACCACCTTTCCGCAAAAGTTTTTACAGGCGCTCTTTTCGAGGTCGGATTTCGCGAGGTTTCGCCTTTCTCTGCCGCACCCCGCATCCGTCGGACTTCACTGTCCATTTGTGTTTCGCGTTGCAGGCAGGTTGCGTTGGGTACTGTATTCTGCGATCGTTTCGTCATGTTTCGCCGTCAAGTGTTACGATTGTTATGATACTGGGCCGGATCATGCCGCGTGCACGAAAGAGAGAAGCTGCACGGGTCTCGCCTGTATGATATGTAAGTACCGTTTTCCGATCGGCTAGGGATGGTCCCCCAGCAATTGCTTATCCTTACTGGTTCCCACGCCAATTGAAGAGCTTGAAGGAAAGATTTTGGTTCTACCTCTTAATCCATTGAAGCCATGTTTTCATTCCTCCTAGCTTTATAAGTGATGTCAAACGAGTTTTGGGTAGGGATGGTCAACCACGAGACGAGGTGGGAGTGGAAATGAAAGGTGGGGCAAAACGCTCAACTGAGCAGCTGCTAATCTCCATTTGCTGACCTGCTATTCACCAGCAAAATACCTAAAAAAAATTGTTAAAGGCAAGGGTACTGTTGAGCAGAGGGGGGAGTGAAATAGTAGGTTAAAAATTTTTTGCTGAAACTTTCCCTATGTGGACTACCGAGAGCCCTGAGCACGACTCTGTCATCCGTTTTTAGCGTTGGGGCCATTTGGCGCCTGGTAGCGCCAATTATTCGTTGCATAATTGGTGGATGGTAGGCCCACTGTTCCGCTTGTGACAAAGAAGCCGATGCCACCTCCTTTTGTGCTTGTGCGTGGCCTTGGGGCCTCTTTATGCACAACTAAGTACTTGAGTTATAAAAACTGTAAAAATCACAGTGAATACAAAATTTGATTTCAGTTGATGCTGGCGATGGCAACAATACAATGACTGCTTTCTGTTTGCTAGCGATGAAAGGTTTGTCTTTCTCACCGTATTTTCTGGTGTGGCATAGTGCCACGTCAAACTCTCCCATCCCTCGGGTCGAAATTCCTCAAGACTAATCGAAGTCACTTTCACTTTGGAGCTGGTAAGCTCGTATCAACCTTCGTTGAAGTTGGCCTGGGACGGTAGTAAAGTCCCCTAAACAGCCAGTCTATAGTTGGCCAATAGGTCACGTTGACGTCGCCTTCGTCCGCACCTAAAAAGCATTGGGAAAGGCGGGAAACTCGCGCTGACCTGCCGCAATGGGCGAGGTCTAGGCCACATCTTAAGTGGCCAATGTATAGGTGGCACCTTGCCTAGACGGCGAACCTGGCAGAGAAAGGGGAAAGTGCGTGGAGATTGCAGAGACGCAGAGGGTCATGTAGAGGGCGACTAAAATGTACCCCTGAGTACATTTTAGTCGCCGTCTATCTGCGTCTCTTCAATCCCCATGCACTTTCCCCTTTCTCTGCACGTCATGCATTGGTCGCATTGAGCGTCTCTGCGTCCCTGCCATGCGCAGAGCGCAGGGAAGAAGGGGGTTCGTGGAAGGTGTTGAGTGTGGGCAGCAAGAAAGCCACTGGAGCTATCGATAATATTGATAACTTTCTGCCAATAAGGTGATCAGCTGTCCCCTGCAGTGTTCCACTTATTGATCGTGTTATAGCTCCTTCCTTGGTCCTGGGAGCATTTCACCCCTGTACAATCATCTAGGCCATGATCCCACGTTTCAAACACGTCGATTGGCGCAGTGGGTTCGTTCCTTGTTGACATTGGATCGCTCGCGGGATCAATTCTCCATGATACTCGATGTTTTGCAACCCTCATAGGTTACTACCTTGCTTTCTACAATTCTTTCAAAGTAACCCAGCAATGCTTTGTGGTGCAGTGGCAAACGTCGCGCTCATGGGCGCTGCATTACATGGTTCAAGTCCATGGCGACGCGACTTTTGCTAGGAATGTAGTGAAGTTCGCCATTCAGAGCGGGGTCATCTGGCTGTCTCGCCTTTCATTATTCACCGTTTACGGCCGTAGTTCACCACCTTTAACTCCCAGTCTATGGCACTTTACTACCGTCCCTGGTTATCTCATATGTTGAACACCCGCCCATTAATTTGCATCAGCTGAAACAAAGATGTGTGCGTGGCTCATCCTGACTGTAAAAGTCTGCTCGACATCAAGCGTTGATTTGAGACACTGACGATGAGCTTCAACAAATTCTCGTTCCTTAAAATGTGCAAGACTATAACCGTTTGAGGTGTTCCTTTTCAGACGAGAATATAAAGCAGAACGCAGGTTGTTGGCTGGAACCGGATGGTCGAGGACGACACTGTATGTGCTATACGGACTTCTGCAATCGACTCGTGAACAAAAGCAAAGAATCAGAAAGTGAGCCAGTTTCACTTTTGACACGTCACATGCACGCGAAGCTAGCCCATCTATCACTTTCTTTTGCGTCACTTGCCATTTGTGCGTGAGAATCTCCCGCTCGTCACTCTTCTGTTTGAGAAACAAGAGGGGATACGGTAGCAGGCAAGATGAGTCACCTTCATGGGTCTTTTGCGTCACCTGGGAATGGGGTCAAATGAAAGAAATTTTTGAATTATTACAATTAGTTAAGAGCCTCAAGGCTTAAAGCAACAGTCCAGGCAGGGTTTCAACTACTTGGTCATTAGGCGGTCAAAACATGCCCCAGCCCAACTAAAGTTTATAGGAAATGTCTTTAAGTTCAAAACCTACCTCTAAAATGCGCTGGAAGGGGTCGAAGTCCTCTTGGAGGGGGCGGATCACCCATAAAGAGGCGGATCGCCAACATACGCTGTGCAGAGTCCGCGCTTGACTAGCGGTCGTTGCGGGACCGCCGCGCTGTATGAGGTCGATTCCATAAGAACGCAATTGAAGCGCTTCAATTTCGATTGCTGGCAAATAGTTATGTATTTGCAAGCATGCAGCTATTTGCCAGCAGTTGCAATTAAAGCGCATGTACTACGGGCAGGTTCGGACAACTCGTCCAACACACGTCTCCCTAAACGGCAGGGCATGTCCCTGTCTAAGCCCCAGTTGGGCGTTTTCTTCACTTTTTCTCTTTACGTTCGACCACTTTTCACCTACAACTTCCATATAGGTGCTTTTGGCCCGCAAATTCGTTCCTGGACTGTTGCTTTAAGTAAGTTATCAACATAACATGCGACCACAATGGCAAAAATCATGCAAATTTGTCAGAAACTAAATTCTTGCAGGGAATCTTCAAAGAACGACGGGGGCATCTTTATCTCCTGGTGTCTCATGTAATTCATCTGTATAATTATCGAATTGTAATACGGAGGGAAATTAACTCGGAAAACGCACTACAACAGGTGAGACCATCACAACGGTGCGAGGGTTTTTACTCGAGGGTTTTTTTCTCCTTAGTGGATTTTATAATTTAAACCCATATCCCATGAAATGTTCAAATCTATGAACTGGAGCTTACATTCTTAAGAATAGCCATCGCGCAGGGGAGTCGACTTGCTGTAGTGATCACAACGTGCCGAAAGAATCGAGTTCTCGCGCTTAAAAGTACATAGGCCTTCACTATACCTTAAATAATCGATGACAAATACGTGTTGGCTAAATCTATAGGAATGACCGGACCAAAACTGACCTGACTACTAGCTTACGCCTTTCAGGTCAATTACCTACACTTTGCCATTTAGTGCATTGATGCGATTGCGTTTTCCTGAACAATCATCATAGATGTCAAGATTATATCTCTTTTAGAGCCAATTTATACCGCTAACTACCCGAATGCTCAAAAATTTCTAAAACATACCAGCTTCTGGCAATTATACAAAGACCACAACGGGCGACTCTTCGCGAGCAAGTGAGTGTGGACCGTAAATCAACCAGGCCACTATGTTGGCAGCTTCGGCTGGGACCGTATGCTGAATGTTGGAGAGGGGATGGAGTCCCCCGACGGTGGACGGACCACTTCAACTCGGTCCTTAGAACCGCCACAATTTGGTGCCTACCTCAGAACTAAGCCTTAAAGAGAGGACGGGTCCGTCCCCTCTCCAAGGCTTAGTCCTGGGGTGAGCAAACCAGCCCTTCTGGCGGAGCTGCTGGACCAGCTGCACCACTTGCGTCAGTACTCTCCTATCGTACCAACCGAGTTGAAGTAAACCGTCGACCGTTGGGGACCCCATCCCCTCCCCAACATTCAGCATACGGTCCCAGCCGAAACGCCAAAAGGGCTGGTTTGCTTACCTCGTGAAGCTGATGTTATCATGCAGAGCAGTTTAAACTTATTTTGTCGATCAACAGTTGAGATGAGAAACAGAATACCATGTAACTGCTTTAAGTATTTAAGGGTGACGGAAAGCCGTTCCCATGCCAGAGAACGTTCATGTTACCAGCTGGAGTATGAACGGCAGATCCAACCGAACATGCTGGAAGTGAACATGACGAATGAAACAGGTAAACGCTTCGTGACTATAATTGCCTACAAGACCCCTCGAAAGCTGTGTGCCAACTGAGTCCTAGTTATAGCGGGCAATGCGTGACACTTACAATGGTGACGGGCTGGAATAAATCACTGACAGCTGACCGCCGGTTCGAGAACAAGCATAAAAGCCTTCTATACCTTAAGAGGTCGTTACGGAACCCGATACTTACTCGGGAATGATAATAGCACTGATTGATATAAAGATTTCGCCTATAGCGAATAATAGTACAAAGCAACGCGCACAATTTCGAACGAATTTCATGCAATTACGAACTTGAAGTAGAAATGCCTTGAGCGCAAGCAATCTAGAAAGGAGAGTTGAAAAAACGAGAAACGAAAATCAGTATGCTTTATCCATCTTTATTTACAAAATTTTCCCCTATCTTGAGACCAAGGAAAATGAAACCTCCGGACGACGTTCAAAGGTAGACACATTAAGGGGAAAAGAATGTGCGGAGAACGAGGAAGCAGCCAAATGTGGTGAGTCGGGGAAGAGCCAATCTACTAATAGTGAAATGAATTAGAGCGTTGGAAAACCGCCACTCAAAGCGACAGCAATGGCGGTGAGCGGATCTCTGACTTACAGCTCACCTCATAAGGCTACAAAAGGGGGAGAGGAAATGGATTGTTTTGGAACGCTAGATGTGAGAGGGAACACTGTGCTTTAAAGGCAAGCCTGGGGATAAACTGGTGATAAGAGCGCTTCGTAGTGATGGCTGAGCTGCGGAACGGCCTGAAAGTGGAAAGGAAAGCTAGAGAAATCTTTGGGATCGCTGAAATTAAGGCCTTAACCTTCAAAAAGGTCGGATGTGGAACGATGGCGAGGCAGGGCGGTCAAAGAAGACAAAACACGCGAGAGATCACGATATCGAGGTGGGTGGGAAGCGTTGCAACGGGGGTCGATGGTTGCAGGCCCGTAAGGATTAGCGCCCTAACCGCGCAATTTTTGCGACGAAGCTGGAGTGATCTAGGTAGGTAGGGACCTTACAATTTCCCTCGCGGTATCCTTCCTACAAGTCGGGCTAATCCCGGGGTTTGCCTTTAATAGCAAGTACAAATTCAAAGAATGGCATACTGCAGAACGCGGTATAAGTGTTCGCTCTATCTGATGGTTTCTGGAAGGAAATGGGCAAGAAAAGGGATGTGTTAGAGTAAACTTAAGTGAGCCGAGAACAAGAAGAAAACAGTAGGTTTTGTTCCAGAAATTTCCTGTTCCTAGACACTCCTACAAGCGTGTTTGAATAAGCGAAGATTACAAATTGATCACAAATTCTCTTTAGATCTGGTTCCGATCGATTTCGCTGAGTACGATCGAGTATGGCACGAGAGGAACGAGAAGGAAATCACAACGGTAGGGTCCATCACTGTTTTGCATACATGGCCCGTAGCCTCATCTGCAGTTATCAATTGATACATCATTTGTTTCAGCGCAGTCCTCAAGACAAGATTCAGGAGAGGGTACAAGACGTTGCATCTTCTGCACGTCTGCCATCTTGGATGCTGATGACGATGACGTTGGCAACATCAATCG